TCTGGCTGAGTGAAGGACGGGCTCTGACTCCGCCGCCCTCCCCACATGGCGCTGACCGTTCCCATGGGCAGAGCAGGGTCTTCCCGCCTGCGCCACTGGGACTCCCTCATCTGCGCCTCCCAGCCCCCAGGAGCCTGACCGACAGCTGACTGGGGAGACACAGGGTCCCTCCGGGCACAGGCCGGGCGGGGGCAGGACCGTGCAGCCTCCAGGGCCCAAGCCCTGCCCTCTCCCCGCCCGCAGGGACAGCCCGCAGGCTCCCAGATTCAGGGCCCTGTGCCAACAGGCTGGGGAGCTGACCGGGCGGACCGAGCAGGGCGGGCATGGGGGAGCACAGAGAGGGAGGGGAGGGACGGCAGCGCTGTGTAAGGGGACTGTGCCAAGCGGCCCGGCAGGAGGCGAGGGGAGAGCAGAGTGAGACACGAAGGCACGATGGCTGAGGCTTCCAGACGGACCCCAAGCATCGAGCCTCCGACTCCAGGGCTCCTGCCGAGAGAGCAGCACCAGGGCCTGGCTGAGTCCGGGGAAGGGGGGGTGGGAGCCCCGAGGGACCCAGGGAGGCTCTCCCTGTAGTGAGAGCCCAGCTGGGCCCTGAGGGCGAAGAAGGCCTCCCAGGGGGAGGGAGCTGCAGGAGCCGAGGCCGGGAGGCAGCCTGGTCAGCACGGGGAGGGCGTGGAGCCCGGGCCAGGAGACCTGCTGGGGGAGGCGGGGGTCCCAGAACCCACTTCCTGGACCCTCTGCCTCCTGGGCTTCCTTTGCTCCCAGCTGCCGGGCCAGGAAGAGGCCCCGCCTACGCGCCCCAAAGGAGGCTGTGCAGCTGGAGAGAGGAATGAGGAAGGGGCAGCTGGTGTGGATTTAGGGATCACTTCTCAGAAATCTCCTCCTTCTCTCTTTCCTTTTCCCCTCCCCCCAGCTGCCAGCCTGGGAGTTCCCCTGCCTAGCGGGGCGGGCTTTGTGTGGGGAAACCCCCCCCTCCCACCACCCTCTGTGGCTTAGATGACCCAGGGCCGAGGTTTTCCTGGGTCTGGCATCCGCCGCCTGCCTCCCCCACAAGTTTTGTTTTGCCTCGAGGACAAAATAGACAAAACAGCCTTCGGCCTTTGCTCTGAGACTTGGCTCTGCCCGTGCTGCCTGGTCCCCGTCCCTGAGGCCACCCCACCTCCGTGGCAGCACCTCTCCTCCCCTGGAGCCCCCATGCAGCACCCAGCACCTCAGCGCTCCCCTGCAGCTCCAGGGACCCCTTAGACAGAGGGGTGCGGACGCCGGGTGGGCGCTCGGTCCCCGGAAACTCCCTGAGCACCGAGTCAGTGCTGCCGTCCAGCTCCCGGAGGGCTCGGCCTGCGCGGTGGCCACTGGAGGGCAGGCGGAGCGGGCCTCCCCCGGCAGCCCCAGAGCCCTGGCTGGGCCTCCCCCTCACCCCTGCTGAAGGGGGACCAGGGGTGATGCCAAGTCCAGCCGCCTGGCTTGGGAGGCGGCAGACGCTCTCGCCCTCTGCTGGCCACTTTCAGTTCCTGCAGAAGGTAGAGTCCTCCCTGTGCCCAGCCAGTGCCCATGGGGGCAGGGGGGGTGCAGCCCAGCCCACCTTCCCATTTCACAGTCAGAGCCAGGCTGGCGCTCCCTCCATTGGGAATGGGGGGGGGCGTGCGGGTCTCTGTCATGGCCCCGGTTCTCACCAGCCGGGGAGGCTCCGGGGGCCCCTGTGCCTGTGTCACAGGGGCCAGGCCCCGGTTTGCCCTGCAGAGGTGGCAGGAGCTCACCCCAGAGATCTCTGAAGAGACAGCCCTGCGAAAGGCGTTTGCTCAGGGGACTGGAGGCCCCGTCCCTTTCCTCTACAGCCTCCAGGGGGCGCCCGCACCTCCCGCAGGGACGGCAGGCTCCTGGGGGGGGGTGTGGGGGGGAAGATGAGCCATCCTGGACCCTCAGAGCTGGATACGTGTCTTTTGATTCCTTGGGAGGGAAACTGAGGCACGAGGAGGCCAAGGACGTTCTCTTTGTCCTGCGGGCCTCACGCCGTCCACACTGGTGACGGGCAGGCAGCCCCTAGGGTCCAAGCCGTCCTCTCCCCTGCAATGCCCTCCCTGGCCCTGAGCTGACCTCCACCTCCTGCATCTGACCCAGCGCGGGCGAAGGGGCCGTGCCCACGGCGCGGTGAGTGAACGAGTGCACGAACCTGTAACCCAGAGGCCGCGGGCTCTGCTGGAGTGCCACCCTGAGCGGAGCCAGCACCGACACAGCCTCCTGCTGCCCTGGGCACCTGGTCTCCGGGCCCAGACACAGGCCGCGGGCTCTGCTGGGAGTGCCACCCTGAGCGGGGCCAGCACCGGCTGCAGCCTCCTGCTGCCCTGGGCACCTGGTCTCCGGGCCCGGACACAGGCCGCGGGCTCTGCTGGGAGTGCCACCCTGAGCGGGGCCAGCACCGACACAGCCTCCTGCTGCCCTGGGCACCTGGTCTCGGGGCCGGACACAGAGGCCGCGGGCTCTGCTGGGAGTGCCACCCTGAGCGGGGCCAGCACCGGCCGCAGCCTCCTGCTGCCCTGGGCACCTGGTCTCCGGGCCCGGACACAGGCCGCGGGCTCTGCTGGGAGTGCCACCCTGAGCGGGGCCAGCACCGGCCGCAGCCTCCTGCTGCCCTGGGCACCTGGTCTCGGGCCCGGACACAGAGGCCGCGGGCTCTGCTGGGAGTGCCACCCTGAGCGGGGCCAGCACCGGCCGCAGCCTCCTGCTGCCCTGGGCACCTGGTCTCGGGCCCGGACACAGAGGCCGCGGGCTCTGCTGGGAGTGCCACCCTGAGCGGGGCCAGCACCGGCCGCAGCCTCCTGCTGCCCTGGGGCACCTGGTCTCCAGCCCGGCCCAGCCCTTCCATTCCCTCTGAGTCACGTGGCGTTCCTAATGTGCCATTTAACGGGTGTGATTTTTAAAAATACATTTTTCTTTATTTCAGAGAGGAAGGAAGAGAGAGAAACATCAATGGTGAGAGAATCATCTGCCTCCTGCATGCCCCCCACTGGGGATGGAGCCTGCAACCAGGCACGTGCCCTGACTGGGAAGTGAACCCTGACCTCCTGGTTCATAGGTCAAGGCTCAGCCACTGAGCCATGCAGGCCGGGCTGGGCTCACTTTCTAACTCGGGCCCCTGTGTGTGTGCTGGTGCTGCTGACCAGGTGCAGGCTAAGACCTGGGCCACACAGCGGCTGCAGATGGTGGGCATGGGGGTGGTGCATGGGGGGGAGGCAGGGAGAGCCTGGGGTGCCGCCGCCCGGGGCCGTGAGGACGCTCAGGTCTCCCGTGTGCCCACAGGGGTGCCACTTCCCCAGTGGGGGTGCCGCTTCCCCAAACGTAAGTACTTTCCCTGCAGTGAACGCTCGGCCTGTGCCTCTCGGAAGCCCGTGTTCGGTTAATGTCCGTCTCAGCCACGTGCCCTGCTGGTCCCATTTCCCCCCACCCCCTCCTGCGACCTCTCACCCCCAGGTCTTCACTGTAGTTCATTATTCTCCAGTGTGAACAGGAGGAAAGGGTGGGGAAGGTACGTGCCTGTACCTGCCACGTTCCAGTCTGACTGCACCAGCTCAGGCAGATCCCGTGTGCACGCCCATCACAGGCCCGGGGTGCCCAGGGGGGCAGGTCTGGGGCTGGGCGGAGGCGAAGGCGCCGGGACGACTTGGCCTGGGGGCCGAGGGGAGGCCCCGAGCAGGAATGGTGGCCCAGGGCCGGATGGTGTCACTAGTGATGGAGCTTGGGGAGCTGGAGCGGAAGCGCAGGGCCAACCTTGACAAACCCTTTCCCCCGCCCCGCCCCAGGGCTGCCGGCTCCCCGATCCTGGGTCCCCTCTGCCAGCCTCATGGGCTCCAGGACCAGCGAGCTGCGGGCAGGCAGGTGGAGGGCTGCGCCACGACCTGGCCACACGCACCTTCCGAGTGTGGGTCCCGTCTTCCTTCCGATTTCCCTTTTCAGCCGCCAACAGGCTCCCTGGTGAAATTGGACCCGAGGCCCCAGGCCGGGACCAGAGCCTCACGATGCCAGACGGGCTGGAAGGAAATGGCTTCGGGACCCGTGACCACGCGTTCGGGCTGTCGGGCGGCACACCGCGGGAGCCATCCCAGACGTATTGGTGGGAGGAACGCTCTTACGCGGGCATGCGGGGCCACGCTGGGGAAGGTCTGGTCCTGCCGTGGCCTCGGCGTGTGTCTGGGGCCACAGCATCCACGGCTCCATCCCTTTGGCGCCTCCGTGAATCCCAGACGGGCCGAGCGCCTCCTGCTCTGAGGAGAGTCTGGGCAAAGCTCCCCCGGGGGCGGGGTCCGGGCGGGCAGGAGGTCACTGCCTGTGGGTCCCAGGGGCCCTGAGCTGGTGGGCGGGACCCGCTGAGGGTGCGGCAACCGGAAGGCTCAGAAGGCTGGAGGGTTGTCTTTCCGTCCCCAGCCCTTGGTTCTCTGAGGCACTGGGATGCCACCGGGGTGACTAGTGAGCTGTCACTTCGCCAGCTGGGAGGAGGCTTTTCATGTCCCGCACATCTCGCGTGGTTCAGGGTTCGGGTGCTGGAGAAGGCCGCACACAAATGCAAGAGACTAGAAAAGTGTTCATTTGGGAACATTGGGGGCCAGGTGGGAGCCCACCTCTAGGGGGAGGACTACGGCCTTGCTTTGGCCTCGCCACCCCTTTCAGTCAGGGTTGGGATCCACCCGTTGCCCTTACGCAAGTAATTCCAGTAACAGTATTGTTTGGGTTTGTTTGGGTTTGTGATTGTTTGGGTTTACGTGTTGCCTCAGCTACCATTTTTTTAGATGAGGAGTGCCTCGCTCTGACCTTGCAGAGCTTCTAGGTTGACCAGCCTTCCAGGTTCCTTGTCCACGCCGTTCTAATTAGTGAGACCATGATCGGTTTCCGGCCCAGGCCTTTCCTTTTCTTTTTCCTTTTTGTGGTTCATCTTCACCTGAGGATGGATTTTTGGCGAAAGCGAGAGGGAGGAAGGGAAGGAGGGAGGGAGGGAGAGAGGGAGAAAAGAACATGGCTGGGCTGCCACTTGCATGTGCCCAAACTGGTTCTGGCTGTATATTCCACGCCGTCTCCTCCCTCTGGGAGCGGCCTCGCCTGCAGCCTGGCGCTCCTGCCTGACACCAGCGTGGTCCTGAGGGCGCCACTCCAGGGGCTCTCAGAGGGGGTGGGGGGTCTCTGGCTGGATGGTGTCCCTTCCCCTGAGGAGCTCTGACCCTGCAGCCACAGCCCCTGAGATCCCGGAAGGACTTCGAAGGTTGAGCAGGACACGGCTCTGTGCACCCTGCAGTGGGAGAGCGGATGGGGCGCTGGCTGGGAGTTACCTGCGGCGATACCGAGCCACCAGGTGAGCGCTCCAATCCGGACCGCTCACTCCCGCCAGCAGCCAATAGGAGGCGGGAGGGGCGGGGCCGGTGGGGCCCGAAGAGACGGAGAGCGCAGCGGGCGATGGAGGAGCGCAAGTCGCCCCGGTCTCCTGTTCCGTTTGCCTGGCTGCTGTGGCCGCTGCTGCTCCTCCTCGGGGCGCAGGTGGGTGCGCGGGGGAGGGAGGACCCCGCGGCCGGCGGGGGGCCGGGGCCGGGGCCGGGCCGGGCCGGGCGGGATGGAGTCTGGCCTTGGGCGTCGCGCCCAGCTCCCCAGCCCGGACACTCGGGAGGGACGCCGCCCCAGGCTGGGCGCGGGGGCGTGCCCTCTGCCACGGGGGCGCTGGGCTGTGGTACGTCCGGCCGCCGCCGGCCCGGGCTCTGCGGTGACCGGATGGGGACCCCGGGGGCCGGGAGGGCGCGGCCAGACCCGTCTTCCTCTCATCCCGCGGGGCTGTTGTAATTTCTTGTTAGCTGGAGGCGGAGGTTGTGACACCTTTATGGACGTGTAATTGGCATACACCTAACGCCCCAGGTTTAAAGTGTGCAGTTCGGTGTTCTGACATGTGTTCTCCGAATGAAACCATCCCCGCCCGAGAGTGGGTGCAGCCCTCACCCCCAAAAGTGCGCCCCCCGCCCTTACCCACCCCCGCTGGCCGGTCCTCAGGGAGCTGGCTCCCAGAGGCTCCTCACCAAAGCTTGAGAGCAGGGTCCCTAGTCTTTTAAAATGGATACAAACCACCAGATTCTCCCTGTTGGTCTGTGTCCGCTGCTGAGCACTCGAGTTTGGAACAGCTGCATGAACTCTGCGCCGTGTCTGAAGGCGCTCCGGCCTGTGGCTGTGGAGTGAGGGGCTCAGTCCTAAGGTTAGAACAGTTGCGTTTAGCTGTGTCTGCTTTGGAGGGAGCTGATTAAATATTCCATTTGAACATCAGCATCTGGCCTCACACCACTTACAGGGAGATGACCACCCGCTGAAACGGTCATTTTTTAAAGCACTCGCAGGAGAATTCGCGATGGCCGTTTGTTTAAACGTGGCTTCCATGTGCCTGTAAAGAGTAGATCACGCCTGGTCCCGGTAAGGTTTCAGAGGGAGCTGATCTGAACCTCTAATGCCATTATTTTATTATTATTAATCCTCACCTGGGGATATGTTCCCATTGATATTTAGGGAGAGTGGAAGAGAGAGGGAAAGACAGAAACATGGGTATGAGAGAAACACATCGATGGGTTGCCTCCCTGGGAGCCCTTGACCAGAATGGAACCGCAGGCCTGTGCTCTATCCACTGACCCACACTGTCCAGGGCTTTAATGCAATTTTAAAAGAGGAGACGCAGTGCTGGATGGTTTCTAAAAGCTGGGGCGCTCCCAGCGCACCCCGGAGAGGAAACACAGTCATCCGAGAGGCACTGCTCTGCCTCAGGCCACGCAGAGGTGGCATCGTGGGACTGTCCAGGACCAGTAGCCAGTAGCCAGCTCCCGAGCAGGAAGGCAGTGGTTCTGAGCGGGACCAGAGCTCCCTGTGACTCAGGCAGGGGAGGCGTGTCTGTCCGGGAAGGAGGGCGTGTGATTCTGGTGGAAAATAGCAGGCCTCCTGGTGTGCAGAGGTGGGCATGAAAGGCCCACGCCAGGCGCTGGCATGCAGTGGCCTTCCTTTTTCTTCTAATAGTTTTTATTGATCTGAGAGAGGAAGGGAGGGGGAGAGAGAAACATCCATGAGGAGAGAGGATCATCGGTCGGCTGCCTCCTGCACGCCCCACTGGGGATGGAGCCCACAACACCGGCCTGTGCCCTGACGGGGAATCGAACCCTGACCTCCTGGTTCAGAGGCTGATGCTCAGCCACTGAGCGATGTTGGCTGATTTCAGGCGGCCATGGCAGCCGGCGAGGAACCAGATGACCCCAACCAGCGTGCAGTGAGGAGCCCCTCTGACGACCTCTGTGAGGCTGGTGAGTGAGCGTCCGTGTCCACCGAGCCTTCGCCTTCGCCTTCCGCTGCCCTGCCCAGAGGTGGCGGGGGGCTCAGCCCCTGGCCCGGAGCTGCAGCGCCCAGGCCCTGGGTGGGTGGGGGAGCCTGGTGGGTGAGCCTCTCCCAGCACTTACCCCGGCAGCACCCGCTGCTCACCGCCCTCCCCTGGGGCTCTCCCCTGACAGAGGGACTCTCCCCTGACAGAGGGACTCTGCTTACTCAGACGGAAGTGGGGGTGTGCCCAGGCTCCATGCTCCCCAGGAGCCCCTGTCAGGAGCCCGTCTCTTCGGGGCAGTGAAGTCAGGGCAGTGATGGGCACCCAGGCCCACCCAGGCTCAGGAGGAGGCTCTGAACAAGCCCCCAGAGCAGTTGGGAGACCCAGACTCCAGGGCCTGCTCTGCCCGCCCTCCAGCCGCGCCCCCTCCTGGCCAGTCAAGGCCAGAACCCGGGCCCCGTGGAGCCTGGTCACACCCTGCGGCCCCCATGCCCGGACCCCACTGGTCAGTGAGCCTGCCTTCAGGGATCTCCTCTTTGTAGGGGCCGACCACACCCCTGCTCCCCTCACCCTCCACCCCCACTCAACCCACCCCCATCCCACCCCCGCCTCCTGTCAGCCAGGAGCTTCCTGGGGCTCCCCAGCTCAGAGACTGAACCCAGCCCCCGACCACTCACCTAACTCCCAGGCACACACGCCATGTACACGCTGCACCGCCCGCACATACATCTGAGCGGGCACACCCACAGGCGTGAGGGAGACAGCCGGACCCACACCAGCCGGAGGGTCTGTGTGCGAGGTGCGGCTCTGGCTCCAGGACAGCATGGCCGGGCGGTACCCAGCTGCGGGCTCCTGTGGGCGTGGCCCCGGCTGCCCTAGGAGGTGGCCCCGGGTGTCGGTGTGGGGTAGATGCGGGGTCTCGGCGGGCTCCAGTGTGCACACCCACACCCCTCTTAGCTGAGCTGCGGGATATCGTAAAGACCGAGGGGTGAGGCAGGTCCCCAGTTCCTGGGACACATGTAGCCGAGGCTCAGTCCAGAACATTGGTGCTATGTGGGGGGCCTGGCCTCAGGGACCTGGAGGGGCCGGTGCCAGGGCCACCTCACCTCTGTGCCTCCCCTGCCTCACCTCTGTGCCTCCCCCGCCTCACCTCTGTGCTGTGCCTCCCCCGCCTCACCTCTGTGCCTCCCCTGCCTCACCTCTGTGCCTCCCTCCGCCTCACCTCTGTGCCTCCCCCGCCTCACCTCTGTGCCTCCCCAGCCTCACCTCTGTGCTGTGCCTCCCCTGCCTCACCTCTGTGCCTCCCCAGCCTCACCTCTGTGCCCCCCCACCTCACCTCTGTGCTCCCCCACCTCAGGCCACTACCTCACCGAGGACTGCTACATGGGCCAGGCCAGAGGGTGCTGTCCGTGCCCCCCTGGGTCCTTCCTGAGCCACCCCAACAGGGAAGAGTCCTGCATGCTGTGTGCCCGGTGCCGGGAAGGTAAGTGGGCGCTGTCCGGTGTGGGGGTCTGTGTCAGGTAGGGCACCTGCCCCCTGGACCTGGCGTGGGGGCGTCGCCCACAGGCGGAGATGAGGGTGCAGGGGCGCTGGGTACCATCAGGGCAGCTGGCCGAGCGAGGGGAGCGAAGCCGCAGTGGAGAGTGAGGACGCGGCCTGAGTGATGGGCGTGCGTACAAGGAGCCCTGACGTCTAGGTTGCTGGTACATTCCCCAGTGGAGAGCGTGCAGGAGGCAGCCGGCCCATGTTTCTCTCTCTCTCCCTCTGCCGTCTCTCGGAAAATCAGCACGGTGGGTGAGGGTCAGCCGAGGACGGAGGGTGCGGCTGCACACACCTGGGTGGCGGGCTCCATCCCAGGCCGCAGTGGGGTTGTGGGTGGGCGGCATCTCATCACACGTCGCCATTTCTCTCTCTGTCTCTCCCCTCCCTTCCACTCTCTCTAAAAAAACAGCGGTGCCCGGCTGGCGTGGCTCAGTGGTTGAGCATCAACCAGTGAACCAAGAGGTCATGGTTCCTCCTGGTCAGGGCAGATACCCAGGTTTCAAATCTCCAGTAGGGGGCATGCAGGAGGCAGCTGGTCAAAGATTCTCTGTCCTCATTGATGTTTCTCTCTCCCTCCCTCTCTCTTCCTCTCTGAAATCAATAAGGATATATATATGTGTGTGTGTGTGTTTGTTTTTTAGAGGCCTGGTGCACAAAATTCATGCACAGGGGGTGGGGGCTTGTCCTTCAGCCCAGCCTGCACCCTCTCCAATCTGAGACATCTCTCTCACAATCCAGGACTGCTGGCTCCCAACTGCTCACCTGCCTGCCTTCCTGATTGCTCCTAACCACTCCTGCCTGCCAGCCTGATCACCCCCTAACCACTCCCATGCCAGCCTGTTTAATGTCTAACTGCTCCCCTGCCAGCCTATTTGCCTCCAACTTCCCTCCTCTGCCAGCCTGATCACCTCTAACTGCCCTCCCCTGCAGGGTTGATTGCCTCCAACTGCCCTCCCTTGCAAGCCTGGTCCCTCTCAACTGCCCTCCCTTGCAGGCCTGGTGCCTCCCAACTGCCCTCCCCTGCTTGCCTGATCTCCCAAAACTGCCCTCCCTTGCAGGCCTGATCCATCTCAACAGCCCTCCCTTGCAGGCCTGGTGCCTCCCAATTGCCCTCTCCTGCTGGCCATCTTATAGTGGCCGTCTTATGTCCACATAGGGGCAGGATCTTTGACCACATGGGGGCAGCCATCTTGTGTGTTGGAGTGATGGTTAATCTGCATATTACTCTTCTATTAGATAGGATAGAGGCCTGGTGCATGGGTGGGGGCCAGCTGGTTTGCCCTGAAGAGTGTCCAAAATCAGGGTGGGAGTTCCCTTGGAGCGTGGAGCGGCCTGAGTGAGGGGCTTGTGGTGGTTTGTAGGCCGGCCACACCCCCTGACGACCCAAGCAGAGGCTTGGTATCTGGAATTTACTTACCTTCTACAATTGAAACTTTGTAGCCTTGAGTGGAGGCTTAGGCCGGGAAGGGCAGGCGGAAAGCTTGGCTTCTTCCATTCCAGGGCTCCCTCCTGCTCTCTGTGGCGGTAGCCATCTTGGTTGGATTTATTTGCATACTCGCTCTAATTGGCTGGTGGGCATGGCTTGTGGGCGAAGCGGAGTGATGGTTAATTTGCATATTACTCTTTTATTAGGTAAGATATATGTATTTAATTAAAAATATATATTTTATTGATTTTTTACAGAGAGAAAGGGAGGAAGATAGAGAGTTAAACATCAATCAGCTGCCTCCTGCACACCCTCTACTGGGGATGTGCCCACAACCAAGGTATATGCCCTTGACTAGAATCGAGCCTGGAACCCTTCATCCCATAGGATGATGCTCTATTCACTGAACTAAACTAAACTGGTTAGGGCAAGAATATATATATTTTTTAATTTCAAAAAGCATCTTCTAAAGGTCTAAATTTTAAGATTAAAAAAAATCAATGGAGAAAAATATCCTCTGGCTAAATGAATAAATAAGCAAAATCAATCCTATCTAATAAAAAAGTAATATGCAAATTGACCATCACTCCAACACACAAGATGGCTGCCACAAGATGGCTGCCACAAGATGGCCAGCTGGAGAGGGCAGTTGGGGGAGACCAGGCCAGCAGGGAGAGCAGTTACAGGCAATCAGGCCATCAGAGGAGCAGTTAGGCGTCGATCAGGCTGGCAGGGGAGTGGTTAGGGGGTGATCAGTCTGGCAGGGAGGCAAGCGTTTGAGAGCCAGCATCCTGGATTGTGAGAGGGATGTCCAAGATTGGAGAGGGTGCAGGCTGGGCTGAGGACACCCCCCATCCCCTGCATGAATTTAGTGCACCAGGCCTTAGTAAAAATGTAATTAAGAGAGACAAAGAAAGGGTCTCTGAGGAGTGGAGAGGTGGACCGTCTCACATCTGCCAGAGCCGCACGTGGGGGCAGGGTGGCGGGGACTCCTGCCCAATGGGAGACGTGGGATCAGGGCCGGCACTCGGGAGAAATGTTGGGGTGTACTGGGTGATGTTCCCACGGGACCACACCACTCCCCATCCGCCCTCCCACTCCGTGGACACCGGGGCCCGCTCTCCCGTGTGTCAGATCCGTCCGTGTGCACCCCGTGTCCACTGGCAGGGAAGGCAGATAAAGCGACACGTGACTTCGCACAGTGCCCCCAGGGAGACCAGCCCCAGAGGCGTGTGCACCTGGCTCCCTCGGTGCCACACTGCACCCGTGGCCGGGGGTGAAGTCACGGATGCTGACTCGGGGTGGTGTCGGGCCCGCAGGTGAGTGGGTGACGGGCTGGGTCTCGGGCTGGGTCTGTGGTCCCACTCCATTTCCGTCTCACCTGTAGTTCAGACGCTGGGCAGGGAGGGTTTGAGGGCCGCCCCTTCTAGGAAGCTGTGCACCCCGTGAGGCTTCAGGGCCTGGCCTTGGAGGCCATTGGGCGGGCTGTGGGGGTGACCGCGGGCTGACCACCAGCAGGTGGGGCGCCAGGGGCTCTCTGTGGCTGCATTCGCTGTTGCTGTGTCACTCACAGTGCACTGGGGGTGTTGACCTGCCCTCCGGGGGGCACACAAGGTGAAAGGGATAATTTGGGGTATTTCTGAGGACAGAGTCAGCTTTGTCCTCCCAGCCCACATTGCAAGCGCACCTTGCTGCCCCTCCACAGACACCCCAGGTTTCAGGGTCCCCCCAGCCCTGTCATAGGCACCCCTCTGGCCCATCTACAGGCTCCCCGATTGCTGGAAATAAGAGTCCAGTTGTCACCTGTCGCCTGTAAATGTGAGAAGAGAGGGAGATTGTGGACCCGGTGCCTGTGACCCAGTGGCCGGAAGAGGCTGGTATGGGTGGGACAGTCCCAGCTCCTGTGCCTGACCCGCCTTCCCCTCCCCCGCAGATCAGGAGATGGTGAGTGACTGCACCCTGACACGGGACCGGCAGTGCCAGTGCAAGCCTGGGGAGTACTACTGCGACTCGGAGCACTGCCTGGAGGGCTGCTACCCCTGCACCAGGTACCGCCTCGGGCGCGGGCAGCCCTGCCGCCTGGGTCCCCGCCCGCCCGGGGCCTGTCTGCCTCGGGTTGTGCAGCGGCCCCCTCGGTGCTCCCGCCTGGAGCCTGGCAGCACCCGCCCTGTGGAGGCGCCTGCAGATGAAGCGAACCCCTGGCCTGGCTGTGTCCCCCGGGGCCGCCCTGGGCCAGGCTCCGTCCACCCATGGGGCCACCGCCCGCTCACCCCTCCAAAGCCCCCGAGGAGTCGGGCACAGAGGCCAAAGCTCAGGGACCCGGACGGGGCCCCGAGGGGTATAGAGGGCAGGGCTGTGGGAGAAGCAGAGGCCCGAGGAGGGAGGGAGGTGGGAGCCATGGACGGTTCGGAGGGGCAGCTCCAGGCAGGGGAAGGGCAGTGTGCACTGCCCCTGTCCCAGCTGAACGGCCGTCCCGCAGCAGGGCCCTGGTTCGGTCACAAGCACCAGGCCTGGGGCGTTACAAACCTCGAAATAATCTCTCCCAGCCCCGCAGCCCGGAGTGCGGCACCCGGTGCGGCCGGGCCGGGTCCACGCAGGCTCTGGGGGCCCTTCCTCCTCTCGGCTCTGGGCGGCAGAGGCCCCTGGCTCTCCTCCTAGACCTGCTGCTGCGACCTCTCCTGTCTGCCTCCGTCTGCGCTGCGCTGCCCTCTGCTCACGGCCCCTCAGGAGGGCGCTGCCCTCTGCTCACCCCCCCTCAGGAGGGCGCTGCCCTCTGCTCACCCCCCCTCAGGAGGGCGCTGCCCTCTGCTCGCCCCCCCTCAGGAGGGCGCTGCCCTCTGCTCACCCCCCCCTCAGGAGGGCGCTGCCCTCTGCTCACCCCCCCTCAGGAGGGCGCTGCCCTCTGCTCACCCCCCCTCAGGAGGGCGCTGCCCTCTGCTCACCCCCCCTCAGGAGGGCGCTGCCCTCTGCTCACCCTCCCTCAGGAGGGCGCTGCCCTCTGCTCACCCCCCCTCAGGAGGGCGCTGCCCTCTGCTCACCCCCCCTCAGGAGGGCGCTGCCCTCTGCTCACCCCCCTCAGGAGGGCGCTGCTCACGGAGGCCGGCTCTCCAGGAGGCCGCACTGAACGCACAGGTTTCCAGAGCAGGTTCATCCTGAGCTTCCGGGTGGGCCTATATGGGGGGCCTTCTGGGGAGAAGTGACAGTGGGAAAACCACTAGCAGAATGGCTCCCTTTTAAAAATAAATGGATTTTGCTGGGACCAGTTTGGCTCAGTGGATAGTGCGTTGGCCTGCGGACTGAAGGGTCCCACGTTCAATTCTGGTCAAGGGCATGTACCTTGGTAGTGGGCACATTCCCAGTAGGAGTTGTGCAAGAGGCAGCTGATTGATGATTCTCTCTCATCGATGATTCTGACTCTATCCCTCTCTCTTCCTCTCTGTGAAAAGCCAATAAAATATATTAAAAAAATAAAAAATAATAAAAATAAATGGTTTTTAATTCATGTCAGAGAGGAAGGGAGAGGGAGAGAGAGAAACGTCAATGATGAGAGAACCGTGGGCCGGCTGCCTCCTGCACGCCCCTCCCCCCCGCCAGGATGGAGCCCATAACCCGGGCCTGTGCCCTGACTGAGAACCCTGACCTCCTGGGTCCTAGGCCGACGCTCAGCTCCTGAACCCCACCGGCGGGCAGAGCAGCCCACTTTTGTGAGGCGCATTGTAGGCCATTCAGTGCGACTCAGACCGCATAGAGCCATGGCCCTGGGACCTGGCAAGTCCAAAGCAGGGGCCGCCTGCAGGTTCGGTTCGATCAGGGCTTGGCTTTTCTCCACTCGTTTGCCTGTCTGGTTTCCATGGGCTTCTCGGGGCTGCTCCCTCTCGATGGGGCTCCTCCCTCTCGGGGCTGCTCCCTCTCGGGGCTGCTCCCTCTCGGTGGAGCTGCGGCTCTCAGAGCCACACCCCGGGGGCCCCGAACTCCCCGCTGTGCTCTCAAGGGTCCCCGAGCCGGTGGGCCCTCCTGCGGGCCGGCCTGGCCGGGAAGTGATGCTGGGTCCTTCGCTCCTTCCTCTCAGCTGTCCCGGCGCCACCCTGGAGGCCTGCACCGCCACGAGGGACACCGTGTGCGCTGCACAGCCAGGTGAGTGACCCCTCTTCCATGGGCAGCCGCCTCTGCACCGGGGCCGGCCGCTCTGGGCCCGGGGTCAGTGCTCAGCTCTGGCCCTGGAAAGAGGCTGCAGGCGGGAAGTGGCGGGTGTGCGGGGCTTTATTTATTTACTTACTTATTATTGTTTTTTTCTAATATGTTTTTATTGATTGCAGAGAGGAAGGGAGAGAGAGAAACATCAGTGATGCTTCATGGACTCATGGAGAGAGAGTCATGGACCGGCTGCCTCCTGCACGCCCCCCACTGGGCATCGAGCCCACAAGCTGGGCATCGAGCCCACAAGCCGGGCATGTGCCTTCACCAGGAATGAACCTTGACCTCCTGGGTTATAAGTCAACGCTCAACCCCTGAGCCAGGCCCGCCAGGCTTAAAGCACCTTCAGTGCCCACCCCCCACAAAAGAACACAGTTAGGAGCTAATCTGGGACTAAACACAAGTGGTCAGAGCGCTGGCTGGGTTGGCTCGGTGGTTAGAGCCCCGCCCTGTGGACCGGAGTGTCGTGGGTTCGATTCCTAGTCGAGGGCACGTACCCGGGTTGCAGGCTCAACCCCCAGCCCCAGTCGAGGGAGGGGGGGTGCCTGCGGCAGCCCATTGGTGTGTCCCTCACACTTTCACATCGACGTTTCTCTCAGTCTCTCCCTCTCCTTCCTCCCCTCTACTCTCCAAAAAAAAATCAATGGGAAAAATGAAAAATAAATACACTTCAAAAAAGCCCCCGTGCAGCGTCACTGCTGTCCCTCCACCTCCTGGGCTGGCCCCGCGCCCCGGCCACAGCTCCGATGGGCTGCCCGCGCCCATGACCGTGTGGCCGGCTCCGCTTGGTGCTGTAAGGTCACCAGGGGGAGACCAGGCCCCTGAGCGGTCTCAATAGCTGGCTCCTGGGCTGGCCCTGCCCTGTCCCTCGGGCCGCTGTGGACCGGCCTTCCCACGGTCACCATGGGGTCCTCTCCTCGTCCCCACCTTCGGGGTGGCTGCCCTCCGGCCCAGGAGTCCGTGACGCTGCACCAGAGCCCCACCTGGACCCCGGGCCTTCGCTGCTCTTCTGGGAGGGCGGCCCCTGCGGGGGGCGACCTTCCGAGAGGGACACCTTACCGCCACAGCACTCTCTGTGCCCCCAGGACCCGCAGCCGGTCCCCTTGCTGTTGGAACCTGGGTCATGTTTGCGGTGATCCCTTTAATCCTCATCATCGCCGTCGCCATCCTCATTGCCTATTGGTGGAGGGGAGGTAAGCAGAGGAGAGCGCTCCAGGAAGAAGGAGCAGCAGCCCGGCTGGGAGCCCTGGGAGGTTCCTGACAGGCCTTTTCCACTTAGAGTACCGCTGTGCTCACTTTCTTTATTTTTTAAATGTATTTTTACCAGAATTTTCGTGCACTCGGAGGCGGGGGCGGGGACGGGGAGGTCCCTCAGCCCGGCCTGAGCCCTCTTACTGTGCCAGACCCCTCAGGGGATGTCCACCTGCCAGCTTAGGCCGTTCCCCCAGGGAGCGGGTCCAGGCCGCAGTCAGACGTCCTTAGCGCCGAGGAGCAGGCAGGGGATGCTCCTGCCACCACCCCTGCGCTTGCAGCCATCAGCCCAGCTTGTGGCTGAGCGGGGCCGCCCCCCCCTCCTCCCCCGTGGGAGCACACTGACCACCAGGGGGCAGCCTCTGCCTTCAGCGTCTGCCCCCTCCCACCCCCCATGGTCAGTGCACATCATAGTGGGTATTTCCCAGTCGTTCTGCCCTTGGGGTCAGTTTACATATTACCCTTTTATCATGTGGGATTGATGTCAGAGAGGAAGGGAGAGGGGAAAGCAACTAACACATCCATGATGATAGGGGATCATGGACCAACTGCCGTCTGCCCCACCCCCCACCCCCCGCCCCACTGGGGATGGAGCCTACATCCCGGGCCTGTGCACACCCTATTGGGGATCGAGCCCACGACCTGGGCATGTGCCCTTGATAGGAATTGAACCCGAGACCCTTCATTCCACAGGCCAACACTCTACCTTCTGAGCCAAACCAACCAGGGTCAGAAACCATTTTTAAGTGCCTTGCTAAGACGTTCTTTTAGCCGAAGGTTGTGTGACTTAATACACCCGATACCCGAAACTCAAATGAGAAATGTTAACGTAAAAAAACCACTGAAACCTGTGAAGAATCTGTGAGCTTATTTGAGCCAAACTGTCAACATATGCCGGGAAGCAGAACCTCAAGGAATTGAGATGATGCTCCGGAGAATGGTGGGTTACATCTGTATTTATACATGGCAATCAAAGGAGGGACATAGGTGGGTTGCATGAACTCATTGGTGATGGATTAAGGAGGCGGGAGAAAGCAAAGCTGGGAACCCCCTGGGATTGGATAAAAAGTGAAATGATGGACACATACTTAGGTGGGTGCAGGAACAATTAACATGATAATGAAGAAATCTGAGGCATTTGTCCTGGCGCCCACCACATTTGGTTGTGCCCCAAGGGCTCCAGAAAAAGGGAAGTTACAAGTTACCCAGACATCTCACAGACACATTATCTTAGAGGCTTGAAGGCAAATGGGCTCAGTAAAGAAGATCTAAGTCGATCTTTGTCAGGGAAAATATCGGCCTAGGACATGACTGCCCACCATAACCTGTTTGCAGTTAAATATTTAATTTTCAGTCCATCTTTTGTGGTTATTTTTAGGGCTTTGAGTTTGCAAGACGGCCACGCAGGCCTCCCCTGAGCATGTGGCTCCTTTCGTCCACACATCCCCCTTTTGGTCAGAAGTCAGTCCAAAGGTTGCATTGATGACCAACCTCTTGGTTGGATAACTGAGTCCCACAGGTGCTAGGAAGCCTCATTGCTAGGATGTCTCAGTGTCAGCATGTCTTGAACAGGTGGATCACTGGGGATGGGGCAAGACTATAACTTTAGATGGCATTTAAGATCAAATTATTATTCAAAAAGGGCATGTAATTGGGATTGGGGGTCCCTCCTATGCCATGGATGGGTGCCAGCGCCATCTCCCAGGTGGCAGCCCTGGCCGAGATCAGGGTGTGCGCAGGTCTGAGGGGCAGAGCCAGGGGCGGCTCAGCTCCGGCGCTGGGCTCCTGGCAGGTCTGCAAGCAGAAAGCAGGGGTGAGGCGCAGTGGCCCTTCCTGAGGCTTCCCTGGGGGGAGGGGTGATCGCTTCTGGGTTGACCTCAGATCAGAGGAACCTCCCGGCACCTCTGTAACCACCCGCCTTCTGTCTCCCCAGGATGTGTCTCCACCGGATGCCCTTTCAGAACGGAGAGCCTGGTGAGTGGCGCCCAGGCCAGGCCGGCCCCGGAGGGGAGGTGGCGGGACCCACTCCAGCTCCACTGAGGCCCTCTCTGCCCGAGCATCAGCCGAACGAGAGCCGAGGGCCTGAGCCGGATGTGCCTTAGACTCTGGAGGGCCCAATCCACATGGGGAAACTGAGGCACCGAGGCCCGCAGAGCCAGCCGTGAGGGCAGTGCTGAGACCAGAGGCGGCCGGGCCCCACTGAGCTGTGGGCCCCTATCCTCTTGTGGGGGCGCCCAGGCTGACCCCTGACCCTCGTCTTGCCTTTCCAGGTGCCTGAGAGCTCAGGGCCCTTCGTGTCATCGCCTGAGACCCGCGATGCAGACGCTCCGGTCCCCGCGATGGGGGCCCGCCTCCTGCCTGAAGGCCGCCTGGACGTGGCGTCCGAGTCCCTGATCCTCCCCGGGCCCCCGGAGAGGCCGGCGGGGGTGGACAGCCCGTGGCCGGAGGTGGAGGCCGGTGATGAGGCCGGGCCCCACGCTGGTCACCACGGCCTGACACTTCTTCACTTCCTTGCAGCCCTGGCCTAAGGGTAATGGTTAAGGCCCTGGTGGATCGTTTGGGCGCAGAGCTCTGGGCTGCAGCTGAGGAGCTCAGGAGGCCCTCAAGGCCCACTGTCCCGCCTCAGAGACCAGGTGACCACACAGGACCACAGGACCACAGGATGGTCTGAAATCAAAACTTTCCCACCCTGGCCGAAACCAGTTTGGCTCAGTGGTAGAGCTTCGGTCTGCAGACTGAAACGTCCCAGGTTCGATTCCGACCAAGGGCAGGTACCTTGGTTGTGGGCACATCCCCAGTAGGGGGTGTGCAAGAGGCAATTGATCGATGATTCTCTCTCATTGATGTTTCTAACTCTCTGTCCCTCTCTCTTCCACTCTGTAAAAAATCAGTAATATATATATATTAAAAAATTTTAAGAATGAAACTGCCATTTGACCCAGTAATCTCACTTCTAGGAATTTATCCTAAGAAACTAGAAACATGAATCAGGAAGGATATATGCACCCCTATGTTCATAGCAGCACAATTCACCATAGCTAAGATTTGGGATCAGCCTAAGTGCCCATCAGCAGATAAATGAATTAGGAAACTGTGGTACATGTACACAAGGAATACTGCGCCGTGGTAAAAAAAGAAGGAATTCTTATCATTTCCAACAGCATGGATGAAGCTGGAGAGCATTATGCTAAGCGAAATCAGCCAGTCAAAGATAAATATCACATGATCTCATTTGTGGATTATAATGAAAAACATAAACTAATGAACAAAAACAGATCCAGAGAAGCATTGATCAGACCTTCAATCCTCAGAGAGAAGGTAGGGGAGGGTGGCAGTAAGATCAACCAAAGGACTTGTATGCATGCATATAAGCCTAGCCAGTGGACACAGACACCAGGGGGGTGAGGGCATGAATGGGGGGGTAGGGGGGACATTGGGGGACAAGGCCACATAGGTAATACCTTAACCAATGAAGAAATTAAGAAAAAAAAAAAATCCTCAAATGACGGTGTTTGTGGCCTGGGCCCCAGGTTGGCCTCACAGCCCCGCCATGAAGGTCTGGGCCCCGGATGGAGGTCTGAGGCCAGGATAGATGTCTGGGTTGTGGGTGGATGGCTCTGGGCTGGGAGGGAGGTCTGGGCCCGGATGGAGGTCTGAGGCCCGGATAGATGTCTGAGTTCTGGGTGATGGCTCCGGGCTGGGAGGGAGGTCTGGGCCCCGGATGGAGGTCTGAGGCCCGGATAGATGTCTGAGTTCTGGGTGATGGCTCCAGGCTGGGAGGGAGGTCTGGGCCCCGGATGGAGGTCTGAGGCCCGGATAGATGTCTGGGTTGTGGGTGGATGGCTCTGGGCTGGGAGGGAGGTCTGGGCCCCGGATGGAGGTCTGAGGCCCGGATAGATGTCTGGGTTCTGGGTGGATGGCTCCGGGCTGGGAGGGAGGTCTGGGCCCGGATGGAGGTCTGAGGCCCGGATAGATGTCGGGGTTCTGGGTGGATGGCTCCGGGCTGGGAGGGAGGTCTGGGCCCCGGATGGAGGTCTGAGGCCCGGATAGATGTCTGAGTTCTGGGTGATGGCTTCGGGCTGGGAGGGAGGTCTGGGCCCCGGATGGAGGTCTGAGGCCCGGATAGATGTCTGGGTTGTGGGTGGATGGCTCTGGGCTGGGAGGGAGGTCTGGATTATGGATGGAGATCTTGTCCTCTGATAGAAGATAGGATTCTGTGTCTGAGGCCTGGGCCCAGGGATAAATTTCTCCGCCCCGCCATGATGGTCTGGAACCCGGATGTAGGTCTGGGTGCTGGGAGAGAAGTGTGGTCAATAGGGGCACTATGGGCCCAGGTGGGAGGTTTGAGTCAAGGGCAGGGCCTCAGGATGCTGAAATGGTGGTCTGGACTAGCCTGGATATTTAGACTCCGATAAAGGGATAGGCAGTGGGTTGTAGTCTGGGTCCCAGGAAGGGCCTTCTGGTCCTCCCATAAAGGTCTGGAACCCGGATGTACGTCTGAGATTCAGAAGGAGGTCTGGGTCCTGAGATGGCAGTTCAGGCCAGGGAGGGAGTTCTGTGCCCTAGGGGCAGTCTGGTACCTCCCCTGGATATCTGGGTTATGAAATGGTGGTCTGGGTTACAGAGGCAAACTACACCTCTGACATAAGACTGGATTCAGTGTTGAGGCCTGGCCCTGGAATAATTTTCTTGGTCCCATTATGATGGTCTGGGACCCAGATGTAGGTCTGAGCCCCCGATGTAGGTCTGGTTGCTCAGGCATAGTGTGGTCACTAGGGGGCGCTACAGGCCCAGGTGGGATGTTTGGACAAAGCCCCAGAATGAAGAAATGGTGGTCTGGACAAGCCTGAATATTTAGATTTTAGAAAAAAAAAAAAAATGGGAATAGATTCTAGTCTGGGTCATCCCATAAACGTATGGTGCACGGAAGTAGGTATGAGCCCCGAATGTAGGTCTGGGTGTTGGAGGGAGGTGTGGTCACTAGGGGGCACTAGGGGTCCAGTTGGGAGGTTTGGGTCAAGGGCAGGACCTTGGGATGATGATATGGCGCTCTGGACTAGCCTGGATATTTAGACTCCAATAAACAGATAGGCAATGGGTTCTAGTCTGGGTCCCCTGAATGGCCGTCTGGTCCAAGCCATAAAGGTCTGGGATTTGGACACAACCAGTTTGGCTCAGTGGATACAGTGTCTGTCTGCGGAATGAAGGGTCCCGGGTCGATTCTGGTCAGGGGCACACTTTGGATGCTGGCACATTCTCAGTGGTAGGTGTGCAAGGGGCAGCTGATTAATGTTTCTCATTGATGTTTCTAACTCTCTATCCCACTCTCTCCCTCTCTGTGAAAAATCAAAACAAAACTAAAAAAAAAAAAAAGGTGTGGGACCAGGAGCTAGGTCTGAGCCCTGGATGGAGGTCTGGGTCCTGGGAGGGCCTTTGGAGACAGGGTCTGGGCCCTTGGGGCCGTCTGGCACCTCACCTGGATATCTGGGTTATGGAAATGGTGATCTTGGTTATAAACTGAGAAATACACAAGTCTGGATTCTGTGTGCGAGGCCTGGGCCCGTGATAATCTTCTCGGCCCCATCATGACAGTCTGGGTCCCGGATGTAGGTCTGAGCCCCGGGTGGAGGTCTGGGTCCTGTGAGGGCAGGTAAGGCCCGGAGGAAAGTCTGATACCTCACCTCACCATCTGGGGTATGGAAGTTATTTGGGTAAAGCATAGAGATCTAGTCCCCTGGTACAACTCTGTGTTCCAGGATTGTGGCCTGGGCCCCCCTTGGGCCAACTAGGACCCTCCATGAAGGTCTGGGACCCGGATGGAGGTCTGGGTGCTCAGGCATGGTGCGGTCAATAGGGGGCGCTATGGGCCCAGGTGGGAGGTTTGGGGCAAGGGCAGGGCCTCGGGATGATGAAATGGTGGTCAGGACTAGCCTGGTTATTTGGCCTCCAATTAAGTTATAGGCACTGGTTTCCAGTATGGTTACCCGAAAAGGCCTTCTGGTCTGCGACCAGGAGTAGGTCTGGGTCGCCGATGGAGGTCTGGGTCTGGGGAGAACCTTTCTGGCCATGGAGGGACTTTTGGGTTCCTGGGGGCGGTCTGGTACCTCACTTGGACCTCTGGGTTATGGAAATGGTGGTCTGGGATACAAACTGAGAAGTACACCCAGGACACCAGTTTGGATTCTTGTTTGAGGCCTGGGCCCTGGCATAATCTTCTTCGCCGTGGCATGATAGTCTGGGTCCCGGATGTATAATAGGTGTGAGCCCCGGGTGGAGGTCTGGGTCCTATAAGGCCAGTTCGGCCCCAGAGGGAGGTCTGAGCCCTGGCGATGGTCTAGTACCTCACCTGAACATCTAAGTTAAAACATTGTTCATGGGGTTAAGCATAGAGAACTCTTCCCCTGATACAACTCTGTGTTCCAGGTTGGTGGCCTGGGCCCCAGGTGTGCCTACTTGGCCCTGCCATGAAGGTCTGGGACCCAGATGTAGGTCTGGGTGCTCAGGCATGTTGTGGTCACTAGAGGGCGCTATGGGTGCAGGTGTGAGGTCTGTGGCGAGGACAACCCTCGGGATGATGAAATGGTGGTCAGGACTATTCCTCCAATTAAGGAATAGGCTCTGGCTGCTAGTATGGGTCCCAGGAATGGCCTTCTGGTCCCCGCCATAATGGTCTGCGACCAGGAGGTAGGTCTGGGCCCCCGAGGGAGGTCTGGGTCCTCGGAGGGCCTTTGGGGCCAGGGAGGGTCGTCTGGGCCCCTGGGGGCGGTCTGGTACCTCACTGGACCTCTGGGTTTAGAAATGATGATCTTGGTTACAAATTGAGAAGTACACCCAGGATACAAGTCTGGATTCTGTGTGTGAGGCCTGGGCCCCGGCATAATCTTCTCGGCCACCGCATGATAGTCTGGGTCCCAAATGTAGATTTGAACCCCAGGTGGAGGTCTGTGTACTGTGAGGCCAGTTCAGGCCTGGAGGGAGGTCTGAGCCCCGGGGACGGCCTAGTACCTCACCTGAACATCTAAGTTAAAAAATAGTTGTTGGGGTTAAGCATAGAGATCTCTTCCCCTGATACAACTCTGTGTTCCAGGTTGGTGGCCTGGGCCCCAGGTGTGCCTACTTGGCCCTGCCATGAAGGTCTGGGACCCAGATGTAGATCTGGGTGCTCAGGCACGGTGTGGTCACTAGGCGGCGCTATGGGCCCAGGTGTGAGTTCTGGGGCAAGGACAACCCTCAGGATGATGAAATGGTGGTCATGACTAGCCTGGTTGTCATGACATGCCTATTAAGGTATAGGCACTGGCTTCCAATATGTTCTCCGAAAAAGCCTTTTGGTCCTCACCATAATGGTCTTACCAGGAGGTAGGTCTGGGCCCCGGATGGAGGTCTGGGTCCACGGAGGGTGTTTCCGGCTATCTGAGGCCCCGGGCGCGGTCTGGTACCTCACCTGGACCTCTGGGTTGTGGAAATGGTGGTCTTTGTTACAAACTGAGAAGTACACCCAGGATACAAGTCTGGACTCTGTGTTTGA